AAATTACTTAGTTTTCAGTTTCTCCCTCATGATATCGACGAATATTTAATTCAGCATTAATTCTTCTTCTTCTTCTTCTTCTTCTTCTTCTTCTTCTTCTTCTTCTGCTGCTGCTGCTGCTGCTGCTGCTGCTGACGCTTGTGGTGTTAAGCTTCTTTTTTCTTCTTCCTCTGCTCTTGGTGCTACACTTCTTATGTCGCTGCTACTATTTCTTCTTCTGTTTCTTCTTCTGCTGCTCCTCCTACATCTTCTTCTTCTTTTTCTTCTTCTTCTTCCTCTTCTGCTGCTGTTAGTCGTCATTCATTTTCTTCATCTACCACTTTACTGCTGTCTCTATTCTTCTACTTCCGCTACTTCTGCTACTAATGTTTCTTCTTCTTCTTCCTCCTCCTCCTCCTCTTCTTCTTCTTCTTCTTCTCCTTCTTCTTTTGTTGCTGACGCTGTTGTTGTTAATCTTTCTTCTTTTTTCTTCTTCCTCTGCTGCTGCCACACTTCTTATGCTGTAATTACTCTTTTTCTTCTTCTTCTTCTTCTTCTTCTTCTTCTTCTTCTTTTACTACTACTACTACTGCCGCTGATCTTCCTTCATCTTCTTCTTTTTCTTATTCTTCTGCTGCTGTTAATCTTTATTCTTTTTCTTCCTCTTCTTCTGTTTGTACCTTTTCTCTTCGTCTTCTTCTTTTTCTTCTTCTTCTTCTGCTGCTGCTGCTGCTGCTGCTGTTAATCTTTATTCCTTTTCTTCCTCTTCTTCTGTTTCTGCCCTTTCTCTTCTTCTTCTTCTTCTACTCCTGCTGCTGCTGTTAATCTTTATATTTTTCTTCCTCTTCCACTGTTTCTACCTTTTCTCTTCTTCTTCTTCTTCTTCTTCTTCTTCTTCTTCTTCTTCTTCTGCTGCTGCTGCTGCTGTTAATCTTTATATTTTTCTTCCTCTTCCACTGTTTCTGCTGTTTCTGTTCGTCTTCTGTTGCTGCTCTTGCTACTCTTTCTTCTCGTTCTTGTTCTTCGTCGTCTTCTTTTTCTTCTCGTATGTTTCTATTCTAACATCATTACAATCACCATTACAGTCGTCATCATCATATGACCTGAAATTTCCAATCCTAAAAAAAAAAAAAAAATAATAAAATAAAATCTTACCCGTAGCTTTCTTCCAGTTTTTTGTTCATCTTTGGAGAGATTGTCCAGCATTAGTCAATAGATTATAAATAATAAAAAAATAAAAAGAAAAAAAAAACAAAGAAAAAAAAACTGCGAATCAAAATTTTCATACGTAATAATAGATTGTCGTATATTTTTCCAACTTTTACTGACACGCTTCTTTTTTAGGGGAGAATGGTGGAAATCAAGAAAGTATGTACAGTGCTATTTGAAATACCTGACACACTGCTAGTCTTTTTCATTTATGAATAATAAAATGTTTCAACAATTTATTATACAATAATTTACAAAAACAAAAAATCACACACACACACACACACACACACACAAACACACACACACACACACACCTAAATACGCTATTTCCTAAAGTAATGGCATTAGAATTATTAAAGACAGGAGAAATAAAATCTTAACAGGTAAATGAATATTAATTCTTAAATATTACTAGATTAATTGAGTATATGGGCTGGAGTTAGCGAATCCTCATTTCTCAGCATTTGATATTAGTATCTAGCTTACAAAACTTACTCACGAAGACGAAACACCGCTGACGATGAACTACAACCGGCAGCAGAAAGAAAGAATGAGCAGATTAGAAATAATGAAGGAGGAAAATGAGAAACAAAGAAGAAATGTGGACGCAAAAAAGAATGAATGAAAGAAGATATGAAAAAGAAAGATAAAAAAGAATATATAAGAAAGAAAGAAAGAGAAACAAAGAAAAAATGAAGGGACGAGAAAGAAGAAAAGAATGCATTAAAAAAGGGAGTTATCAGAAAGAAACAAATACAGATAAACATATATGAGACAGATGGAAAGAAAGAAAGGAGAAACAAAGATGAGATGAGAAAGAAAAAAAAATGAATGAATGCAAGAAGATATGAAAAAGAAAGAAGAAAAGAAAATATGGGAAAGTACGAAAGACAAACAAAGGCAAAATGAAGAGATGAGAAAGAATGCGCTAAAAAAGGGAGTTAGAAAGAAACAAATGCAAATAAACATATAAGAGAAAGATCGAAGGAAAGAAAGGAAAAACAAAGATGAGATGAGAAAGAAAAAAATGAATGAATTAACGAAGATATGTAAAAGAATGAAAGAAAAGCAACGAGAAAGAAATAAGTGATGAGAGAAAAAATAATGAATGAAAGAAAGAAGAAAGAAAATGAGAAAGAAAAAATAAACGAAAAAATTTAAAAAAAGATGCCAAAAAGAACGAGCGAGTGAGCGAAAGAAAAAGAAAAGAAAAGAAACAAGCAAAAGATGAGAAAAAGGAACAATCTTGATATATATGTGAAAGAAAGAAAGGCGAAATATAATAGAAAGAAAGGAAGCAAAGGAAGATAGAGTATGTTAAAATGAAAAATAGGAACAAAATGATACGAGAAAGAAAGAAAGTATGATAGAAAAATATGAGACTGAAAGAAAGAAGCAAGCAAAGAAAACGAAAAAAAAAGTTTTTTCAGAAAGAAAGAAAGAAAGATTTAATATATGATAAAATAAAGCAAGACGAAATATCAAGAAAGAAAGAAAGAAAGAAACCAAGGAAAGAAAGATACGAGAGAGAAAAACAATCGAAATATATAAGTCAGAAAGAACTAGCGAGCAAAAGAAAGAAAGAAAGAAAGAAAGAAAAAAAGAAAGAAAGAAAGACGGAAAGAAAGAAAGAAAAAGAAAAACAAGAAATTAAACGAGTAAGAGATATTAAGAAAGAAAGAAAGAATGAAAGAAAGAAAGAAAAAATAAACAAGAAATTAAACGAGTAGGAGATATTAAGAAAGAAAGAAAGAAAGAAAGAAAGAAAGAAAGAAAGAAAGAAAGAAAGAAATCATGGGAAAAAGATACGAGAAAGAAAAAATAAACGAAATGAATAAAAAAAAGATGCCAGAAAGAAGGAGCGAGCGAGCGAAAGAAAAAGAAAAGGAAAGAAACAAGCAAAAGAGGAATCTTGACATATATGTGAAAAAAGGACAGCCGAAATACAGAAGGAAGGAAGGAAGGAAGGAAGGAAGGAAGGAAGGAAGGTAAGAAATGAAGGAAGATGGAGTATGTTAAAATGAAAAATAGGAACAAAATGATACGAGGAAGAAAGAATAAAATATGCCTTTCAAATGTTAAACAATGAATTAAGAAACAAGAATATTTCTTTAGAAACAAAGACGGGAGGGCTGAAATTCTACGGAATATCGATCCTTCAATATGGCGACGAACGCTAGATAATTTACTTAGATGAAGAAGAGACTTGAGGCAACAGATTTGTCAGAAGGAAGGTAAGAATACCATAGGCGAAAAATATGGGCACCGAGACAATCTAACGGGAAATGCATACAAAAGTATGACATATGCTTAGAATCAGAAACAGTTGACATTTCTAGGACAAGAATTAAGGAAAGAAGGCTTGGAGAATTTAACTCACGTATTGAAGGCCAGAGAGAAACAGCGAGTAAAGTACATAACGCGTTTGTGTAAATGGGTTGTAGAACATGGTTGGTGGACAAATATTTCTTAGAGCTACAAAGGATAGGATGTTGTGGATAGCCATGATCGCCAAAGTCCTGAATGAAAAAAGTACTTAAAAAAAATAAAAACAGAAAAATAACATTAATTCTCCATTAATATTTGTAAGCATTTCAGCAATTTCCAAAATAAAAAACTTGATTGCCAAAAGTCTTAGCACAAAAAAGCTGTAAAGGAACGAGAAAAATGGAGAAGAAAAGGATTAAATTATGGCAAAAGAGCGGCAAATCGACGGATAATATTGTTAGAAAGCTTAGAAGTGTTACAGTGGGTCGTTGTCCAAAATGCATTTAGGAGGGAAGAATTATTAAACGTAAAAGAAACGAATTAAATAAACAAAGACTACAAAATAGTTTTCCTACTGTAGAGTGATCGTTAATGAGCTTTCCTTGCAAACAAATACGCTACTGCGAGACAATGCTAAGAGACGGGAAAACACCTAGTATTTAATATCGATGGACATAAACAAATCAAGATACGCAGAAGACAATGTGTTCATAGCAGACTCAAAGGAAACCTAGAAAAACATATTAAGACAAGACAGGAAAGGTTTTAGAAAGCTAGAAGTAAAGATTAAATATATGAGAAAGAAAGTATGAAAGAAAGAGAGGAAATCAAAGAAATATTGAATATATAAGATAAATATATGAAACACATAAGAAAGAAAGAATGAAAGCTGGAGATGGAATAAAGAATGAGCTGAAAAGAAAAAAAAGAATGAAGATGAAATTTAAGAGGAAGAAGAAAAAAAAAACATTTATTATTAACTCTAAGGGGAACAGAATGAATGGTCGTAAGCAAAAGAGACAGCCCAGTGTGTAACGTACAAATTGGAGACGGTATGTACATAAAAGCGTTATACGTTATTGCAGATATGATGAAGGTGAAAGGTGTGAAAAAGAAACAAGTAAGAGAGAAAGATGGAATATATGTGAAAGAAAGAAAGAAGAAAGGAAAGAAAGAAAAAATATGGAAAGAATTATGCAAGAAAGAAAAAAAAACAAACGAAAGAGAGATGTTAGAAAAAACGAGCGAGTGAGCACGCGAAAGAAAGAAAGAAAGAAAGAAAGAAAGAAAGAAAGAATATGGAAAGAAAGATACGAGAAAGAAAAAACAAACGAAAGGTAGATGTCAGAAAGAACGAGCGAGCGAGCGAAAGAAAAAAAGAAAGAATGAAAAAGAGAAAGAAAGAAACCAAGGAAAGAAAGAAAAAAAGAAAGAAATTAAACGAGTAGGAGATATTAAGAAAGAAAGAAAGAAAGAAAGAAAGAAAGAAAGAAAGAAAGATACGAGAAAGAAAAAAAACGAAATTTATATGTCAGAAACAACTAGCGAGCGAAAGAAAGAAAGAAAGAAAGAAAGAAAGAAAGAAAGAAAGAAAGAAAGAAAGAAAAAAAACAAGAAATTAAACGAGTAGGAGATATAAAGAAAAAAAGAAAGAAAGAAAGAAAGAAAGAAATCATGGGAAAAATACGAGAAAGAAAAAATAAACGAAAGAAATTAAAAAAAGATGCCAAAGGGCGAACGAGCGAAAGAAAAAGAAAAGAAACAAGCAAAAGATGAGAAAAAGGAAGAATCTTGACTTATATGTGAAAGAAAGAAAGGCGGAATATAGTAGAAAGAAAGGAAGGAAAGGAAGATAGAGTATGTTAAAATGGAAAAATAGGAACAAAATGATACGAGAAAGAAATAAAATATGATGGAAAATATGAGACTGAAAGAAAGAAGCAAGCAAAGAAAACGAAAAAAAGTGTTTCAAAAAGAAAGAAAGAAAAATTTAATACATGATGAAATAAAGCAAGAAGAAATATACAAGAAAGAAAGAAAGAAAGAAAGAAAGAAAGAAAGAAAGAAAGAAAGAAAAAAAAACAAGGAAAGAAATATACGAGAAAGAAAAACAAACGAAATATATAAGTCAGAAAGAACAAGCGAGCGAAAGAAAGAAAGAAGAAAAGAAAGAAAGAAAGAAAGAAAGAAAGAAAGAAAGAAAAAGAAAACAAAGAAATTAAACGAGTAGGAAACATTAAGAAAGAAAGAAAGAAAGAAAGAAAGAAAGAATGAAAGAAAGAAAGCAAAAGTAAACAAGAAATTAAACGAGTAGGAGATAAGAAAGAAAGAAAGAAAGAAAGAAAGAAAGAAAGAAAGAAAAAAGAAATCCTGGGAAAAAGATACGAGAAAGAAAAAATAAACGAAAGAAATTTAAAAAAAAAGCTGCCAGAAAGAACGAGCGAGCGAGCGAAAGAAAAAGAAAAGGAAAGAAACAAGCAAAAGAAGAATCTTGACATTTATGTGAAAGAAAGAAAGCCGAAATACAGAAGGAAGTAAATGAAGGAAGATCATGTTAAAATGAAAAAAGGAAAAAAAATGATACAAGAAAGAAAGTATGATGGAAAATATGAGACTGAAAGAAAGAAGCAAGCAAACAAAACGAAAAAAAAGTGTTTCAGAAAGAAAGAAAGAAAGATTTAATACATGATGAAATAAAGCAAGATGGAATATACAAAAAAAGAAAGAAAGAAACCAAGGAAAGAAAGAAAGAAAGAAAGAAAGAAAGAAAGAAAGAAAGAAAGAACTCTGTGTTATGGGAAAGAAAGATGAAAGGTTTGAGAATGAAACGAAGAAAGCTGAAATATATAAGAAAGAAAGAAAGAAAGGAATAAAGAAATAAGACTGTGGATTGGGAAAGAAAGATAGATGAAAGGTTTGAGAATGAAACGAAGATTAAATATATACACAAAGAAGGAAAAAGTAAAGAATGTAAATGAAAGGTAAAGATTAAGTAACAACTAAGTAAGAAGAATTGAGAGAAGAAATGGAAATTTCCGTATAAAAAGAAAAACTCAACATAGTAAATAAAATAATAGGCGAAAGTATATGTGTCTCGGTCGCAAGTAAAAATCTAAAAAAAAAATGGCTTGTCGAACCTCAATAGGATTTTGGAACAATAGTCCCGCCTACTTTCAATAAAGAAATCAAACATTAGACCTGTTGTTGAATCCGATTTTCATGTACTGAACACCGATCAGGTGAACTGAACGTTTGGCTTTCGGAATGCATAGCAGTCACGACTTTTAGCGAACCATTCAATACAAGGCTCATTAAGTGAGGCACGTCTGATTTAGAGGAAAAGTAGTTCGTTGCTCTTGTTACAATAGAAGACGGAAGAAATGTTATCGAAAATAGATCGACGCAAGAAAATGCATGAACTTTGCAAAGAGGAGATACTAATTTTATGTCTGTTTATTTTTATCATTCTTTCTTTCTTACTATCATTCTTTCTTATATATTTCATCTTTCTTTCTTTCACATATATCTTTCGTTCTTTTCTTCTTATATCTTTCATCTTTGATTATTTTCGACTTTTTCATTCTAGTTCTTGCCGTATTGTCATGTATATCTAACTCAATTTCTTTATCTCTATGCCTCATTCTCTCTCCCTCATATATATATATATATATATATATATATATATATATATATATAAATGTGAACAGTGAAGTCAACACACAGAGGCGACATCCTAAACGCAGTCATCAGGTCTGTCTGTCGCCCTTGAGTGTTGAGTTCATTGTTCACTGCTATGTTTACATATGCTTTTTCTCTGATATTGAGCACTTTATTCCATAAATATATCACACCTTAAAACTATATTTCTTCGTATATATATATATATATATATATATATATATATATATATATATATATTGTCTCAGAGATAGGTGTGACTTATAATTAGGAGAAAAATAGAATTATAAAATACAATAATCGATACCAACTATTGAATAAGAGCAATGAATTAGTGTTAAAATGTCGACATAAAAACAAATTCAAATTTCCATAATATAAGTTAAACTAAATTACCTACCATATTTCTAAATTTCTCACTCTCCTCTAAATCTGCGAATGTCGACAGTATAAATTGTTCTAATTTTTATATTTAATGTTCTCTATATATAACCCCTTTAGATTATATTAATTATGATTTATAAATACTCCATACTTTAACATCTCCTTAACTAACTTTTTATTAATCCCTTACTTACTTTAATCCATATATTTTAATTTTTTTAACCCCACTTTTTATTTCTTTTTTAATTTTAAATTAATATTTTCATTCTTCATATAACCCCAAATTAATGTTCTTCACTTTATGACAAATACCTTCCACACTGCTTGATCTCCCTCGTGCCTTTCGTCTGACTGAAACATTGAAATGGATAAATTCTGTATTAGTTTTTCGTCATACTGTTTATTTTGGTGTTTATTATCTTTTACAGTTGGATTCTATTTCACGTCACCCTAATTCTATAGACACCACCTCAGTCCATAAGATAAGACAGACGACAGATAATTTTCCTTGTCGACATTGGCTATTCTACCTATGAGTTAATTTTGGATTGCATTGTTTATTAATTGTATTGCTCTCTATTAATAAATTCATTGGGCTCTTTTTGTGGATAAGTTTTAGTATTTTATATTACTAGGATTAACTTGGATTATATACCAATGGATTTGTGAACATTACTCTCTCTCTCTCTCTCTCTCTCTCTATGTATATATATATATTTCGGAGATGAGATTTTGTAAGTATTTACACAACTTACAGTGTTTGAATCGTTATCCTCATCTTTATTGATAAATTAATGACGTTTCGGTCGTTGTACAATCCGGCCTTCTTCAGTTGATATATATTGGAAAACCACCTGAAGAAGGCCGGGGTGTACAACAACCAAAACTTAGCAGTAAAGATGAAGACCGCAGTTAAAATTATGTATATATATATATATATATATATATATATATATATATATATATGCGAAGCAGCTAAGGATTTTTATTGATCTTTATTTTAATGGTAAATCAACATTTTGTTTGTTATTTAAAACCGATACATATTTTGTATTGTAAGTATAACTGTATTTCTTGTGAGCAAATATGTCTTTTGTTATGTTTGATGAATACCAATGATTTTCCAAGTAAAAGTAATTATTTAGCCCATAGATTTGGTGAAGAGATGCATTCATCCACTTCGTAAAGTGATTTGAGCGTACTTGTATATAACGAAACGAGGGCAACGCGAACTCAGCTCTTTCATTTCTCACACCGCGCCGCATATCTAAGAAACATCGAAAATAGGATAAACACCAAAGGGGACTTTTAGAGAATAATAGTCGATGCTTTACTCTTTTACCTTAATAACACAGACCATGATTTCGTCTTAATGAATGCAGTTACAATTAAATAGAAAATAGATTAAGTTAAAAACTGTATTGAAAATACACTAATTACGAAGTCTTCTAATCCACATTTCCACCTATCGTCTTACGACATATTAATTCTCATGGGAAAAGGTTAATTAATTTTTTTGAAATGTCTGATATTAACATGTCGAATGAAGACTACTATTGTGAGCATCTCGACACAAGGGACATTGGGTAACCTTGGATCGTAACAGTGGATCAAGCTTTTGTCAAAAGTTAACAAAGACTGAAGTATTCCTAATTTGGAACTAATTATCTTGACCATCTCCCTGATGTCACCAACACCTTACTTCAGCTCTGTGCACCCTGGGAACAAAATCGTCACAAATCTTGTGCATGTACAGATCTTCATGAATAATACGCAGTCCAGTTGCTACACCAACTGCAAACTGTATGCTTATTGCCTGAATAGTCGCACGACGCTCTTCATCCATAAAATTACCAATGTTCTAAAATGCTCTTATGCAATGACGGCCCTCACACCCCCACATTTCTCATTGTCTCCCATCTCCACCCGTGAAGCTTTTGTGCCAGCGAATATCTGACGCTTGGCTCATGCAACTTAATCTGAAACAGTCTGGAGTATTTCACAAGTTTCTGCATTAACTTTTGGCCAAGTTTAACACAAAAAACGTATTCCATAACGGGCTTCCATATTCCCTTCATATCCCCAAAGCATTCTTCAACTTAGTCATCTGCGACAAGCAGTGTTTAATAGGGTGTGTTTAAAGAGTAGTTACAGCCGTAACGTTCAATCAGGAAGAATACAAGAAGGCAGGTCAACTTCTAAAATGCACAGTAATACTATAGTAAAATTACAATAGTCTGGAACAGTTTTAACTGCCTCTGCTAAAATGAAAATCTCAAATTATTTGTATATATATATATATATATATATATATATATGAGAATTATAAAAATGTATTGGCCAGAGTTGAATTAAACCAGGAAACAGTAATATTAAAATGTTCTCAATACGCGTATCAACAAAATAAATTAAAATAAAAATAGTATTTTAGCATTGCTTCGGTTACATCCATTCGGTATCTTCAGAAATTCCATACACACACACACACACACATATATATATATATATATATATATATATATATATATATATATATATATATATAGTTAAAAATAAAGAGCAAGACAAACCTACCAAGGTTTCACCTAAGTGGATCGTCGGGGAAGGCTGGCTCTCTAGGTTTAACCAAGTTTGGTCTACTTACAGTATTGAGCACTTTATTTAGTTAATTTTTTTCTTTGAACTTTGAACTTGCATGCTAGACGATTATATTCGGCTGACGTACATGTTCTTGGTTCTTTCTTTTCTTATATCTTATTTTACTTTTGATATTGGTTTGATTATTCGCAAATCAAGACAACGAAGTTTTTCCGAGCTAGTATAATTTCTTATGCTTATAATAATATTACTACTACTACTAATATATATATATATATATATATATATATATATATATATATATATATATATTAATCGTTTTGAATTAATATTCAAAGCTCAGCCATTTATCGTGGCATGGTTCACTTTTATGCCAGAAACCTATTTTGGAACCCTAGATTTATATATAGAGATAGATACAACAAAATCATTAAACCTATTCTAAGGAAACCAAACTATATATATATATATATATATATATATATATATATATATATATATATGTATATAAAATCTAAAGGAAATCTCTTTAAAAAAATATTATATTCTGTTATACATCTCCAGTTGAACATAATCAATATAGAAGATTTACAATTTACGGAATTATTAAAACTACATAATCTCGTCTTCATTGTCATGCCAAAAGGAAATAAATCATTCAGGAACATGACATGTAGGAATTCTGATGCCAACCGCAATGTTTTTATTCTTCCTTGGTGGACATTTAAAAATAGGACATTACCACGAGTCTATTTCACAGGTTAACATGCTATATCTCATAACCAGTTAAATCTGCGCATTCATGATTACACTTATATAACAATAAGCTTTTAACATATATAATATAAATACACCGAATCCAAGCACGTTTACAATTAACTCTACAAAAATAAAAATCCATATTATAATTCTAACAAAAAATTGCGAAAACAAAAAATAAATCCCCTTACGAATTTGAAGTTGTTCTTCGAAGCATATTCAACATCTGCGACAAGGAACTGGTGCAAAGAATGATTTTAATGCTTCCAAAATATCTCTTTTCTTTTAAGAATCCAAGAGAAATTATTTTACCTTCCATCAGCTTGGTTGTTGCAAGGGGTAGCAACGCAACGCGTTTCAGTGGTCTCAAGATTTCCACAGATGTATGATTATATTAAATGACTGATAAGGTCTGCTGGCAGAAATGTTGATTGATCATGTCGTGCTAGACAAGTTTCTATTTTAGAATGTATATTGAGCCATTATTAAGCTTACTATTCGTCCTTCAATCGGATATTCGCTACCACTGCTGGTTTTGTTCTCCTGCTATATATATATATATATATATATATATATATATATATATATATTGTCTTCATTGTCTTCATTGTCTTGAAAAAGGTTTATTAAACCGAAACGTCAGACGTCGACATTTCTTTCATTTTAACTACATTTAAGGATTTTTGTTTGTTTTTTCAAAAATTTTTCTTCATATATATATATATATATATATATATATATATATATATAGATAGATAGATAGATAGATAGATAGATAATATTAGTGGCAAATATACACATACATATGCAAAATATATAAATATATATATACATAGGTGCATACACATACATGTATACTTTTGAATAAAAATTCCAAGAGGATAGAATCCAGGTAGAACTCAATGTCCAGGACAGAGTAAGGATATAATAAAAAGCCTTAAACACTAATATTCCATGGTCATAATTTATTCCATTGGAATCGTAAATACGATCCAATTCATCAGACCTACAAATTCAAAAAGAAAACAGAAAAAAACTATTTATTTTTTATGATATATATATATATATATATATATATATATATATATATATAAAGTTTCTGAAGTGAAATGAAAGAATCTGTAATATTATCGGTATTGAGGTCTCATCTCGGCTTCAGTCACTTTCTCACTTCAGTAACATAGCTTTTCTTCAGCATATTATATAAATAAATTCATGGCAATTGTTCTGATGATAGTATGGTATCTCGACTTCATTCATGAATTTAAGTGCTCTACTACATTGGCGACTAGGTCTAATCATTTTACTGCTGATACAGCTAGACGTCCTATTCGAATACAGTGTAACCCGGATATAAGAGACCCGGATATGAGAGAAACCCGGATATAAGAGAGATTTTCTCTGGTCCCAAATAAGACCCTGTGTTTATGTGTATAAAATAGACCAAACCCGGATATAAGAGAGATTTTCTCTGGTCCCAAATTAGAGCCTGTGTTAATGCATAAAAAATAGACCAAACCCGGATATAAGAGAAACCCGGATATAAGAGAATTATTCTCCGGTCTCGACAACTCTCTTACATCCGGGTTACACTGTATGTTGTTCTCTTGCACTTCTCACTTCAAAACATTTAAATGCAACGGCGTTCATGTATCTATGCGTATATATGTTTATGTGTGTTCTTTGTTGTTGTTGTTGTTGTGTGTGTGTTTGTATGCTTAAGTAGGGTCTTCAAATATATAAATGCAACGGCAATCAACAACTTCTGCAAATTTGAAACCTGTTCTTTTATCGTCCTCTTTGTTTATTACATGTACGGTAATTGCTTTCGTCTTAGTGACTTCATCACCTTGTTTGGGTGGAACCTACAAAAACTGATGATATAGTTAAGGATCTAGATAGCCTGTCACATGCCCCTTATGTCACCATAAAATATATGGCCAAGTATGATTATCAAAAAAATATGAAAAAAAAAACACAAACTAAACGTTCACACAATCACACATCCGCATGATGGCCAGAAACATGGCGGAAAAGGTTCGTTTATTAACATTTGAACAATAAAATCATTCTCGCTTTCGGAAATGTCTTTCTACTTCTTGCTTTCCACTGAAGAAGAGTCTTCAAATATATAAATGTTACAACTGGGACCCGGAACTGATTGTCGAGGTATAAAAATACGCTGGATGCTATCCCTTCTGGACATGAGATCCGACTGCGAATCTTACTATGTTCAATTTATCAATGAGGTAAAATCCTGAAATATATATTTTTTCTTTTTTTGGCTCATTTTCCATGAAATGTAGACAAGGTTTTTGCTCCGTATTTTAACACACACACACACACACACACACACACACACACACACACACACACACGCGTAAATTTATATATAGAAATAGGCAAAGTTGATCTCTATCTATAAAAGGCAGGATGTGTTTGTGTGTGTTTGAGTGTGTGTGTGTGTTTGTGTGTGTGTGTGTAACGAATGCACGGCCGCAATTTTCGACGGATTTGCACCAAAATGTACATGCCCATGCTCCAAGTTAACAGAAAGGCCAAGACCGACTTTGCATTTCCCAACTCCCATCGATAGTTGAAATAATCGATTTTTTCATGCTTCTACGGCAGTTTTCATGTAGTTTGCCGCCATTTTCTACTGGCCAGAATGAGAGCCTATAGCTGGCTGCCACGAATAGGCAAGAAGATTCTATTGGCCAGCGTGATAGCCAACAGCTGACTGACACGAATGTTAACTAGCATGCTAGCATGCAAAAAAATCGATAGCTGCATTCGTCGCAAGTGGGAAAAATTTAAATCTGCATGGCACTTTTTCTCCAGTTGTCTCATTCGCTTGCTTAAACTCAACGTTGATTCTGATTCCGCAGAACTGGGTTGGGTGTGAAAAAGTATATAGTTACGAGTCCTTTTTTTAAAGCTGATCGTTTTGTGTTCATTTTGTCTAGTTCTTTTTTTTGTAACAGATTTAATGTTTAGTATAGAGCTTAGAAAAATTTGCAGTGTGAGATAGGCAAGAAGTAAGGCATGTAGCAACATCAGCACGACAAAGGGCACTCCTTTAAAGGCAAGGAATGGCAAAAATATTTTAAGTCAAGTGATAGCGATTACTGTATGTGTCGTACGATTTTTGAATCAAGTACGGGTAACGCCGGGTCATACTGCTAGTATAGATATAAGGCGTAATGATACAAATTGCAAATGAAGATGTGTGTATATGCGTTCTTGTATCTATTCGTATATGTGTTTATGTGTGTGCTTTGTCGTTGTTGTTGTTGTGTGTGTGTCTATGCAGAAATGTTCGATGCTTCCTGATCTCAACTCTAACGTTATCCCGCTTGCATCACCTCTTTTAACCAATTTTCTTATTTGTAAAAGAAAAACAAAATAAAAGAACAAAAAATAACAAATTAAGTTATGACTTGACAACGAAGACTTTTAAATATTTCTCTTTATTTTGCCTAAGAAAACGAATAAACTTACGTTCTGGAAAGACAATTGGATGTCAAAATTAGTCGATTTCTCATCTTATACCCTTGGTGTGAGTACATCAACCATATACGTAACCATATGAAGACAAACACGCACAAAGAAAATACTTGTCGCACATCCATAAGCAGCTTTTGCCCGTCGCCTTTCCAGAACCGCACGTTTGTCCATTCAGAGAGTGTTTTTTAAGCGCCTATAATTCTGTTCGTTTAAATCAACACGCTACTTCCCATTTTTTTCTCCTGTCATTTCAGCTACATCAAAATGTTTTTTTTTTTTTTTCTGTCATTTCTTAATTCAAACGCAGTCGCTGTCCTTGTTTACTTGTCGAAATGAATAGCTTTTGATGTGCGCTCCCACTTATGCTGGGGAAGAAAAACAAAAAAACAAAAAAAGCTCTGAACCAATGTAGATTTTTCCACGTCATATTTGTGGAAAATTCCCTCACCATTTTAGATAAAGTAATACATACCGTATTTGACTGCATATAAGGCTCACTTTTTTTCCTTTTTTTTTTAATAAAAGTATTTTTTTAAAAATTCCCCTACGTCTTATATGCCATATATAGATTTACTAATATTTTTTTCTTGATTTACCCTGCTGAAATTGGGGTGCGTCTTATACACCCGTGCGTCTTATATGAGGTCAAATGCGGTAATTCTGTTTGGTCTTTCTCTGTCTTTATCTACATACATGTAAGTAATAATAAGTATTTATACAGCACTTTTCCATTAATAAACTTCCCATTATAAATAGGATATAAAAAGGTTTGTTTGGTTGCCATATTTACCTTCTTATAATACGCGGATTTTTTTATTTATATTTAATTGAAAAAAAGGTTTAGAAACGACCAAGTGCTGCACTGAAAGGGTAGAGCATTGTATTTACCAGAATCCACTCGGAATAGAAATTGTTACTAGCAATAAAATGATGAAAAAGAGTAAGTTCTGTTACAAATAATACAATATGTATAGCAGGCTATTTCCAGAAATGGCAATTTCTCTTAAAATTCCTTCAATTTTTCCCATTTTGCTTGTTATAAACTACTAGTAATATTCAGTGAAATATTTTGTTTTGTCTGCATCTATTGTAATTATCTATGGGAATTAATTCACATTTATTTTACTTTACTGATTGCTTTGTCTACACGTACTATAATTATCCATAAGAATTCATTTACAATAATTGTAATTTACTGATTGCTTTCTATCTGTTTGCTTTGTTTTATATAAACCTGTCCACATTTATACTAATGTACCAATGTTTCTTTTCTGCTTCAGTTCCCTTTGAAGTTTAAAGTAAGAAAATATGATTTCATAATTTATTGCAGTCTGTTACAATATTGTATTTACAAACCCAATATCACATGTTTTACCCTACAAAACCACGTTCAATAAATATATGATGAAATATAGTAATTTTTCTTCAATAAAATATCCTTTTAAAATAGGAGACGTCTTATGTGAGTGGACGTTTTATGCGAAGGCCAATACGGAAATACTGAAGTATAAGATCGAGTATATATCCTGCCAATGATCGTATTGTCCAAAGGTGAGTAAACGAACACTTCCAGGTATGTTTCTGGCCATCATCCGGATGTGTGATTCTGCGAACGATTAGTTTGTTTCTTTTAATTATTCCAATACATTTTAATAGTCACACTTGGCCATATATTTTATGGTGACATAAGGGGCATGTGACAGGCTATCTAGATCCTTAACTATATCATCAGTTTTTGTAATTTCCACCCAAACAAGGTGATGAAGTCACTAAGACGAAAGCAATTACCGTGCATGAAAACAAAGAGGGCGATGAAAGAACAGGTTTCAAATTTGCAGAAGTTGTTGATTGCCGTTGCATTTATATATTTGAAGACCCTACGTAAGCATACACACACAAAAAAACTCACAAAACAAAGTTGAGTTTTTCTTTTTCTTGTGTGTTATCACCCCCGTTGGACTCAGCTTGCATACGGCCCCAATCCCTGTTTGATCCCGTCTGTCTAAGATCTAACCACAACGTGGGTAGGCAGACCGGAGATCAGTGCAGTTACCCTAGTAACCAGGCGTTGGAAGCGAGTTGGGAACGACGAGGCTGGTATTCATCTAACCAAAGGGTTAGAACGTCACACTTGGAGCAGCGAGGAGCGAACAGCTGACGCCGCGGCAAAGACGTCACAACTGGTGTCGTGACCATAGGATCGGAACCCTAGACCACGTCACGTCACAGTTGGCGCCGCGAACGAGATCGAACGACACAGTCGACGCTGCGACCAGGGGGGACGACGTCACAAAGGGTCCCAGTTGTAACAATTCTAGAGGAACTTACTACATATGAACGAACGGAAAGCAATTTCTAATTGGCTTAAGCAGACACCAGTGAAATGAAGTTGAATGATCTTTTGTTTTTTCTTCTCCAGTCTCTTGCACCATAACAATGCGCTTTTCTATTTCTCGCATCCTGTGCAGAAATTCTTTTAGTCGAAACATTTTATTATCCAAGCATGCCCAATACACTCAAGATTTTGCTGTCTGTGATTAAACGCATTTCGTGAAATTAAAATCTCCATTTGGATGGATTGATTTCATTTCCTTTTTTTAAAGGGCATATCAACGCATTTCCAGCCATTTAATACCGAAATTTAATTTTCTTGAAAGCTTTTAAGTAATCTCATAATTTTACTATAAATATTTATTGTTGGTCATTTTACTATAAATAGTGTTGGTAGTTGTTTAGATAAAATGTATTGCTGGTAATTTTACTCTAAAAATAAACTTTTTATACTTTTATAGTGATTTTTGTTTGTTTGGGTGTACACTATTTGCCCGTAACTGGCACCCTAAAAGATCCTATCACCCCGGATCAGGGTATACGTTGGAACAAGATGGTGTTTCTACGCTCATTCAAATCTCGTCTCCCGATCAGATGCCTTGCTGCCTGATGTAGTTTATTGTCATACCTAGGACTACTCCATTTGAAATCATTCTAACCATAAACAAGACGAAGGTTGACGATAATCAACCAGTAAAATCTAATTTGCAGGGGGATTTGTAAAATTGAACGGTCACTGGACTAATTGAGCGATGTCCCCAGAGAAATAATTGGATGACATCTAAGGCGTATTGGTGGGAGTAGTCTTTCGTTCGGTTACAATTAAACAAGTGAAGGATTTTCCGGAACAAAGCCTAGTATTCCATCGATTCAAAAATCAGTGTTGCTTTTCGCTGCAAATCTGTCCTGCGTATGACGATATACTACATCCGCGTCCTGGGTATGAAGATAAACTACATCCGCGTCTTGCGTAATGTGATAAACTACACCCGCATCCTGGGTAAGACAATAAACTACATCCGCGTCCTGGGTATGACGAAAAACTACACCCGTCTCCTGGATAAGACGATAGACTACACACGTGTCCTGGGTAAGACGATAAACGACATCCGCTTACTGGTAACACGATAAACTACATCCGCGTCCTGGGTATGACGATAAACAACATCTGCGTCTTGGGTAAGATGATAAACTACATCCGCGTCCTGGGTAAGACGATAAACAACATCTGCGTCCTGGGTAAGATGATAAACTACATCCGCGTCCTGGATATGACGATAAACAACATCTGCGTCCTGGGTAAGATGATAAACTACATTCGTGTCCTGGGTAAGACGATAAACAGCGTCCAACAGAAAGGCCTCTGAGCAGGAGGATTTAAGGAGCGTGGAAGCACCTCTTAATTGCTGGTATTCTCAGGTCCACACTAATCCGGAGTAGTAGAACCTGTTAGAGTCCCAACTATGAGTAAATAATTAGCCCCCAAATTGGGGTCAAAACATTATAATAAGTGTAAAACTAAGTTTTAATACCAGAAATATTTGTAAAAAAAATATTAGCAGCAATATATGTTTGAAAAAAAGAAAAGATATTACCAGCTATACATTTTTGAAGAATAAATATTACCCGTAATTAAATAACCGATTGAGGTTGATATTCCGTAAACCAAACCAAACCTAACTACGGCTAGAATTCTGCGACATGCGTTCTCTGTATGTGAATGTCCAGTGCAAATTCATAGAGGACATTCATGACATAAGATCATATTAAACAATTCTATAATTTACGGACATGTCTCATATGATGCTAAGTATTGGAGGAAAAATAAAGCCGTTGGTCATAGCAGTAAATTCTGGCCAATCTTCTCACATACGAAGAAGAGACTTGAAACAACAGAAACGAGGGTCTAGAGAAGGATGCTAAGAATAACATGAACAGACCATCGGTAGGACGACAAAGAATTAGAGAAAATGAAAAAAAAGAAAACTTATATTTAACTTCAGGAAGATACAGTTGACATTTCAAGGAAACATAATGAGGAAAGAGAGCTTAAGAAAATATGATACTCACAGGACAGATTGAAGGCAAGATGGACAAAGTATAAACTACTTAGTGAGCCTGAATAAATGGATGACGGAACAATGATTTGGAGAGATAACAAAAGACAAAATTCATTAGAAGCTACAATGGTCGGGAAATTGCGGAGAAGCATAATCAAGAAGATATAGTGAAGATATAATTCGATCAGTTCGTGGGATTGTAAAAAAACGACATTTGAAATGATAATAATACTGCATTGAAAAATTATAGAATATTCTTGTATTCTTAAAGACGGTTATAAACAGACAAAGGTAGTAATCGATTGAAAGGAACTGCAAATCACGCGTAGATGAAAGAAAGATGGGTTTATTTTAAAAGAGAATACACTACAGAAAGACAGGGAATCAGTTAGCAGGCTAGTAATTACCGGAGCAAAAGTATTTGCCAACACTCACCACCCACGTGGTCAGCTGTGGCACAAGGCCTAATTTAACGTAGTCAATCCGAGCTCGTAGGCTCGGCAAAAATTCTCCGTAGATCCCATTAAAAAAATGGGGTTGGGTAGCTGTCTACCACCCCAGACCTGACTCTGCCCTTCGACATTGCTTCATCTGGGTTCCTCTCCACTCGAAGGCAGAGAGTTCGACCAGCTTAACTAGAGACGACTCTCAAACTAATTACCGAAGCTAAGACCTGGGTATTTCCTATGCACACTATATATAATTGTTGATATATTAAGTCCACATTGCCGATAAGGAGTGTGGGACATTACCTTACAACAAATATAAAGTTGATGAGAG